ATAATAATAATAATAATAATAATAATAATAATAATAATAATAATAATGGAATTTTAGAATGGGCTCATTAACATTTGGGAAATCATACTATTCAGGTTGTGTAGTGCACCTATCAGCAACTCTTTAAAGCAGCTTCATCTTTTCCCATGAGAACTTATAATATTGGAAAAGGACACAGAAAGTATTTGAATACTTTGAAGAAGCATTGCACAGCCCTAAATGTTATAACAATATTTATTATTTGACTTAATTATCTGTTACCATGATTTATTATAAGCCAACAAGCATTTTGTCTTATTTCCATTTGGGAAAAATATGAGGATTTGATCTGTGTTGGTCCCTCCATTTTGAATGTTGGTACTCATGTATCATAAGTCTTGTTTTCATTAGCTTTTGTTAATATTCCTTGCTTATAAGGCAAAGTGTATATAGGATTATTGATACCAGTCACCCTGCCTTAACATCCTAGTTCAAGAACAATGTGCTGCTTCTGAATACCCACAACCAGGGGAGAGCTAGTGTTCACGTGTCCTATATTTGCCAAGGTGCTTGGTTGGTCAGCATGGATAAAGGATACTGGATGGCATCAGAGACCAACCCTGAAGGCTCCTTTTCTGTAGGGCGGGAGCCTCTTTTCAAGATCACACCACTGGAATTCAACAGTATCCCTCCCCACTGCAATTCTTCACCCATTTTTTTAACTAAATAAAATAGGCATACTAATTAATTTATAATCCAAACTTCTCAGAAATCAAATAATGCTTACATATGTAATCTTTCAACAGTCATTTTTGATAGTAGCAGGATATAAATGCAATTAACAAACAAGGCTCTCTCTCACCAAATTCACAAAAATAGAGATTAAACTTTTCTCTCTTTTTTGTCTGCATTGGTGATATAGCCATCCAGAGGAGTGCCTTGGAAAATCATGCCTAATTTACAATATTTATTATGAATTTTACAGTTCTGCACATATTTCTACAAACTCTTACCTTGGGTTGCAATGTAGTGACTTGGTCTCTGGTATCCCTATAAAAACAAACATAGGTTGATTTTTAAAACTTACAGACTGTAATCAAATTGGGAAAATGAAGGCATACCAAAATGTTCCTATATACTCTTTACAATTAGGCTAGTAGTGACTAATCCAATCAACCATATTCAACAACGTAGTTTCAATCATTTCCAGAACATCGAAGTGCATTGTTGGATGTGAAATAAGCCCAGCTGATTTCAAAGTGTTATTTTTGGACAATGGCACTTAGAACCAAACGAAAAGTTCCTGTAAATGTATACTGTGTACATAAAAATGAAATGGCTTATTGTTTCCTAATAATTCTGCTTTGTGAAATCCATAACTGTTGTTATTTATTGAATTTCAAATTTGTTTTTGGTTCTAATTCAGAAAACTATGAAATTGTTCTAAGCAACTATGAGATTTGCCTTCACTTAAAAAAAAATACAGATTGACAAAATTTTGTTTGCTATTTTAGATATTAAGCACAAAACAACCAAGCCATTAGCAAAAAAATTTCACTATGAATGCACCAGAAAAAAATAGAGCCATAATAAGTAAGCAGAATGGCTGAACATTAGAGCTGGACAATGTATACGTGTGTACAGATTGCAAATCTACACGCAATACTGCAATTTTGTGCAATTACATAAAACAAAGTTTAGAATTTAAGAGATTGTGTGTACACATAAGATGAACACACATATATATGCTATTACTGAACTTTCTCTACAGTACAATTATTAAATGCAGGGAAGGATTCCATATACATATACTTTAAAAATGGATTTGTTGACCTCTTGGCTAAAATAAAGTAAACAAGAGTTAACCATGATTGGTTAATGGTTAGAATATGAAACAAGAAAAAAAATTACTGAATCTCATGAATATTATTTCATCAAGCTTTTGCTAATTATATGATATAATTTTGGGAAGTCAAGGAATTAGTCTTATTAGCGTAACAAATAACTATGGTATTGGCACATGTAAACATGTTATCCTCAGTAATTCTATTACTTAAATGTAGAATTAGAAGCAGCATTGTATAATTTTCATGTATTAAACACATTGCACTCAGTTGGTCAAAGGAAAACGTAATTATTATGAAAAAGAATTCCCAAAGATGCCTTATTGACAAATGCATATATAAAGCAATGTATATGAAACATTGCTTCTTCAGTTTTTCCATCACTTCTTACTCAGTTTGACAGGGAAGACATCTTTTTTTGATGGATTTTTGAAAGGAAGAGAAATCATTGAGAATTATGGATTTGGTATAGTATTGCAAATATTAACTTTGTTTTGAGGAGCCGATGGTATTGAAATGCCTATTACTAGTCACTAATGCTCCTACCAGCCCATGGCTTCCTTGTTTTTTAACATCCAAAACAAGTCCCATAATAACCTGAGATTTTCAGAAAAAACAGAGAGTTGTGTGTTGTACCTGTGCAGTAATCTGCACTCAAACAGAAAATGTGATTTGGAGTACAGATGCGTGTCATATCTGTTGGAAATACCATGAATTAAATATACCAACTTTAAGGTCCTGATGACTAATGGCGCCCTTTAAAATCAAGACTGCTGCACAACTATAATATGTAAGACAAAAGGCAAGTCAGGATCCTTGGGCAAAAATCCTACAAAATTCTAGATCAACCTGAGAATGCACTACACAGCAGGGAAAGAAAACATTTTCTTGCAGAGAAATGAAACCCTCAAGGAGTTAGATGACAGCTTTCAGCAGAATCCTGAAATAAAATTGAGGTCTTGTAAACACAGAGTAATATTGTCCTCTAACTCATAATCTTGCATATGCATTCATTCAAATTATCAGGGACATAGTTATGAAATCCTTTTATTAAAAACTATTGGTGGGTGTATCTCCTGAGTGATAATTGCTCCATTCAAGTAATGGCACCTGTCTAGAAAACTATTTTCTAAGTACACCAGTGATGATTACACACATCAGATATTTTGAAATTCTGTATTGAATTAAATTATCAAATATACAAGCCTTGACTATAATCTAAGTAATTATTACTGCATTATAGCTTTCATGGTTATATATGTTCATTTGTATTTGTCCAAAACTGTAAGCTTGAGTACCATTGTTAACTCATTATTATTATTTCAGTTTTATTGCAAGTGGAGGATTCCTGTCTTGCATTAGAAATAGGATTAGTAGGAGGAGCACTATTGCTCAAATGAATTCCCTTTGAGAACAGGAGACAACTCTAGCCCTCCCTTTATCCATTTCAGGCCATCAGTAGGTTTCATTTCAAGAGCAACACACTATATTCTATTATCCAGCTTCTCACACAAAAATAATGGGATACAAAATAAAAATTACTAAACAATGCAAAAAAAGAGTAATAAAGAAGCAAAAATGAGTCTTGTAAGGGTTAGGTTTCATTGATTTAGTTAATGATTTTCATGATCACTGTAAAAGACTAAGGATATTTTTAAAATGTAGGTAAAAGAAAAAGAAAAAGAGCACAAAGGAACATTAAAAAGACTAGATATATAAATGAAATTCATTAATGAGGCATGCACATATATCTAGTAATAAAAAAATTAGAACAGTAAAGCAACTGAGAATGTTCACTATATTAAATAGTCATAACAGGATGCTGTTATTCACATATAGTGGTACTTACATCCCTGTACAGCCAAATCTACAGCCCAAATCAAAGTCAGATGTGAAAGAAAGCACAACAATGTCAGTGAGTACTAGGACGGAGGACAAGGAAAAGTGTACATTTTGTTCATAATATTAAGAAGGCTCTCATTCAGTTCATAGGAATTGCATGCAAAAATGTTTCACAGAGAGAAGATGGAAAGAAAAAAAGCAAGATATACAATCTACTTACATCAATATAATTAGCATTAATGTAGTCTGAAGAAGGATCATCTTCCACAGGTTGTAATATCACCCTGGAGTGATCATCTGCAAAAAACGGGTTTCGTGTTTGGAATGATATACAGCAGAAACAAATGAGTGTGAAATGTAAAGGCTAAAGGTTCCCTTATTTAAGGAGGAAAAAGGTAGACCCCCATTTGACCTGCAATGCTGGCAACCCTTTCCCAGTCTGCTCAAAAATGCCAGGGAAACCTAAAATGCCGGGGAAACCTAAAATTGCTAGAGCCAAAAGAAAATAGAAATTGTATCTACTCTGTGGAACAATTGAATGAAATGAGTGAACAGAAGAATATACACACTTTAGAACCTGCCTTGGTTTTAAAGCACTAAGAGCAGAAAGACTAAAAGAGGTCTTTCTCAGTGATGACCTCATCCCAATGGAGTTTCTCTTCTAAGGGAAATATAGCCCCAATTGTAGCTACTTTTGAAACAGTACTGTATATCAGTGGCTCCATTCCAGTTAGAAGTGTCAAGTGGGATAAAAGGTAAAGGTTCCCCTCGCACATACGTGCTAGTCGTTTCAGGCTCTAGGGAGCGGTGCTCATCTCCATTTCAAAGCTGAAGAGCCAGCACTGTCCAAAGACGTCTCCATGGTCATGTGGCTGGCATGACTAAATGCCAAAGGCACACAGAACGCTGTTACCTTCCCACCAAGGTGCTCCCTATTTTTCTACTTGCATTTTTACATACTTTTGAACTGCTAGGTTGGCAGAAGCTAGGACAAGTAATGGGAGCTCACTCCGTTACACGGCGCTAAAAATTCGAACCACCGAACTGCTGACCTTTCTGATCGACAAGCTCAGTGTCTTAGCCATTGAGCCACCACGTCCCTGTCAAGTGGGATATCTTGCAACTATTTTCTAGGCTCTGTATTGCTAAATATATTTATAACTTAACTTGGATTAGGGGTTAGAAAATATGACAATCAAATTTGTGAACAAGCAAATCAGCAACATAATTTCTACAAGGACAAATGCAAACTCCTTCATTTGTGTACAGTATAGGAAGGTGAACCATACTGGAGAGCAGTTCATGCTTGGTGGATCACACAAGCGGAACATGAGGCAAACGTATGATGGAGCTCTCAAAATAATAAATGTAATCCTAAATTGCATCAACAGAAATATAGCATCAGTATCAAGAGATATCATTGTTCCTCATTGTTCTGGGTTAGTTAGACAATAATTACATTGTCTATACTTGTGCATTTTAGCAAGGATACTGAGAATATGGAGCATGTTCAGAAACAAGACAAAGAACCCAGAAGAAAAAACTTATGAAAAACTATTGATGGTGCTGGCCATATTTAATCTTGGTAAGGCATGACAGCTTTCCTCAGTATTTGTGAGGTGCCAAATTGTTAACACTTGATTCAGAAGGCAGTGTGTGGAATAATGGGTTTACAAGAAAGGAGATTTTGGTTGTACATCAGGAGCAATTTCCTAATAGTAAAGGCCATTCAATAATGGAAGGTATTTAGGGAGGTTGTGGATTCTCCTTGACTAAAGAGCTTAAAAGAGAGGCTGAATGGCCATCAGTCATGCATGTCTACATTTGCTGGAATAAGTAAGGTCCCTTCTATGCTATGATTCTGGGAAATACAAAATTTTTGTCTATGAATCTCTTCAGCATTGGCAGAGGCAACGCTATGGAGTAGTTAAAGCAATGGACTAAGGTTAGGGAGAAATATTCCAATTTTTAACCACCAAGAAACACATCACTTAACTACTGTGTAGGATGGGTAGACATAATAATAGGCTGTCTAGGTTTTGTCAATCAGCGATGTAACACACTCATCTTCATGATTATCTGTTTTTAACTCACATGCTATAATGTTCCCATATCTATTCTTCGTTCTGTTTTGGTCCTTTTTGGCCACATCCCAAGAAGCTGATTGTCCTTCAAAGAAACTCTTTCAAAATAAAGAGATAATTTATATTTATTTCAGCATTTTATTCATCCTGACACATTTTGCATTAACATTGTTAGAACATCAGTTGGGTTCTTGGTTTCTCTGAGTTTGATTGTTTTACTTGGAGTTAGGTAACAACATATAAAGCTTTTCCTGGTATAAATACATGGAAATATTCTGCCAGGCAGAAACAAATCCAGTGCCTGGAAGTTTTGAAAGGTTCTAGAAAACACAAGAAGGCTTGAGGTGGGGAAATAATGAATCCTAATATCCCTGTTTCTCCCACATGCTCCATGCTCAGAGCATCCAGTAGTGGGAGGTGCAGTGGGTCACCCATGTGGCCAACCTTGTTTTATCTTTTTATTAATGGTCATTAAGCAAATCACAATGTTTATTAAGTGGTGGGGTGTTTTTTTGGCAAAAACTGGTAGCAAATATTAGTTTTCAGCAAACACATTGTAAATTGGGACCATGTGACCATCGGTCATGTGACTGCAAGGGGTGGGACTGATTGTCAGAACTTTGGAACTGTATTGTAAGTCTCTTTTGTGAGGGGGAGGGATGTCTGTTGTAACTTTGAATGGTTGCTAAGCAACTATTTGTAAGTTAAGGACTACCTGTATTTCCAGGGCAATGATAAAAAGCAAATGTAGCATTTCTTGAAGCCAACAACTGAAAATAGGTTATAAAAATATAAAATAATTTCAATTACAGGGTGACAATATTGCATATAATATGAGCTTGGAATCACGTAACAGTGATTTGGGGTTACTGGTGACAACGGTTTTTTGTTTTTGTTTTACTAATCTCCCATGTAATTAATGGATCCATCAGGAAATGTATATTGTAGTATTTATCCTGTATATTGCCTTTCTCTGTAACACAATGAATAAACAAACAAACAAACAAACAAAACATGTTTTTAAAAGTCATACCTGCTTTGTTTTATGTGGATAAAATGAATTAGTAACTCACATAGCAAAAACTAAAATCAAATGTTAAAAGATATATACATATTTCCTTTATATAAAACTAGCTGATCAACTAAAATTAAAACCAGACTTTCTGAATTAGGATTCAAGGATCTATGTTTGGTCTAGACAGGTCATACACTTTTCATTCCAACTTGTCCAAGGTCTCCTTGGACACATGTGACACATATACATGGATAAATGGTCTCATCAGAACTGTATCTCATCACTGTCAACTCAAAAATATTTCTCTGGTCTTTTAGAGTTGCCAGCAGAAAGGGAGTAGGGGAAGTAGTGCATTCCTTAAATGCTTCATAGATAATTTCTAGGAGACCGAAGCTTCTGGCGCGCAAGATTATTACTGGAGAGCATGATTGATGATTCTTGGCTATGGATGTGTCCCATTGGAGAATATACATCCAGGGGATGGGGGAAGACCAGGGTCAAGGGTGAAATGAATGATGTGTCATTGTTACCTCGTACTCTTCTTTGAAACCATAGCTGTCAGATGTTTTCATGAGATTAATGTGCTGCAGCAAATCCGCTACTCTGATAGCAGGATGCAGTTGGCCAGTTTGGTAGGGAGATTCTGTTCCTTCGCAGAGATAACGAGGCACATCTAATAGACGACTTGACTCTGCTGTTGCACTGTGGTTTTCATCTGTGGTTATAAGAGCCCAAAGAATGGAAAAGTTTTCAGCAACAATGAAATTGAAATACTCCTGCTCCAGCCTATCTTCTCATGAGCTCATTTGAGCACTCTGCAAAAATCTGGGTGATATTTCGACTCTTTCAAAAGAAAGCATAAGCAACAAACAGCTGCCCCACGTTGATCAAGGAGAAAGAGCTCCCTCCATGTTCCCTCTGTTAGAGAAAGGCATCTCTCTTTGGCTTTCTCAATCATTGGCAAACCCCCTCCCCCCAATCTGGAAGAACATCCCCTTAGAGATTCAGCATGACTCAACGGTGAGTGATACTTAGGAAAGAAAACAAAGAAAGGTTACTTTAACAGGCCTTTAAGGCGGTGGCCTGAATTGAGGGAGACCTTCCCTGTGAATGACTGTGGATTCCAATGCCTATTCAACAAAGGATTTTGCTAGTTCAATGCTCTTAGATTTTTAAATTCTGTCAATGCATGGTAGGACTGTAAGCTGTACAGATGGTTCATAATTGGAGTGGCTATATGCCAAATAAAAATAAAAATAAAAATATCTCTCTCTCTCTCTCTCTCTCTCTCTCTCTCTCTCTCTCTCTCTCATTTTATATATATATAAAATGTTTAAAATGAACACTCAGAGACTTCAAATGTATTGAACTGAGTTTTCAGTCTGAGTTAGAATAGACACAGGTATGTGTTGAATAAAAGCCTGATTTTAATTCATACACTGAAAAACCTGAAAGTGTTTATAATTGCAGTTCAACTTTCGAGTCTCATGACACTAACTGATTATATAATTGCATACCACTGTTCTTTGGGTTTAGAGGGGTTTTTAACTACCTCTGTACCTCCCCATTTGCTATTGGCTTACTTAAAACTTAAATATTCTGCTATCTTCATACCAGTTAATTAAAGTGAAGATGAAAAATAACTTTCAGAAAAGTTGCCAATTTTTGTTTGGTTCATGACTGCCGCATTATGGTAATTTATATATCTTTGGAAATTAATGGACTAAGACCTGTCTGATCTAGATTGTTGAAGCATCACAAAAAAAAGCTTTTATTGTTATAAGTAACAGAGCATGCATGATTTGCAGATGCTCACCTTAATCTATACATTGATTATAATACCCTCGGAATGGCTTGAAGAGAGTCATCAACATTGTTTTCTGAATACAGGCAACAGGGCTTGTAGATCCTACTGCACCCCATGAATGCCTTCCATGAACCCTAACCCATTCAACTGAAAATTTCTTCTATACATGCCTTATTAAATTAACTTACACTACAAGTAAGAAGTCAAGATCTCAATAAATACAATATTTCATATATTTATGTCACATATAACCTAATAAAAATAATTTCATGGTCAACTTAAATTGCATTTTCTCCAATACTTACCACTTATAGGAACTGGACCACATTGAAGCATGTAAAAGTAAATAAAATATCTGAGACACATTTAAAACCAGCTAGCTACATGTTATGAACACACTAAACAAGCTTACAAGTTCTAGAAAAATTATAATGGAGATATTGAGGTAGATTTTTTTCATTTTTGAAATCCTTCATACTATTTTTAATCAGCACATGTTAATAGAAATACTTCAAATTATATTTCACATGCAAAATGTTTAATTAATGAAAAACAACAAGAGTAATATACTATTAGAGACCACATATATTTAACTAATATATAAGTCAAGTGCAAACACCCACAACCTCTAGCTAAGTCATCTTGCTTCACATGAAGGTGAAAAAGTTAACAAAAACTAATACAGGGATGGGAATGTTTGCTGAATCTGTCAATCTGTCAGTTTTGCCCTAGGTTTGCTCTTTGAAGTTCTAATAGATTAACCTTTGCATGTCAAAACAATCATTTTTGCCTACTTGGAGGTTCTGATAATGTCATGTCAAATATCAAATATAATTTAGTGCCTTACTTACTACTACTATTACTAATGTCATATCAAATATAGTTGTTTAGTGCCATACTACTAGAGTAAGCCTCCTTCCATAAAAAGCACTAAGGAAACAACACTGAATCATTTAGTTTAATTTTTATTGATCGCTTAGGGTTGTAAATCATAATTCACTAATTATTAAATAGCTAAAGCTAAGTAGAGGAGATCTGACATGAAACTTTGGATGGATCTTACAAGTAGAAAAGAAAACTAAGTATAGATTTCAAACTGACAAGCCTATTTAGTATTAGGTTTTAGAAGGATGTTTTACAGGTTTTAGAAGGGAACAGAGGAAAAGTGAAGTAGTTAAAACCATTTAAGATATTTTTGAACAGAGTCTCCAATGGTACATAGTATACCATTCGGTATACTTTTCAGCTTGAACTGTTCTTAGAAAAGTATTATGACACTAAGTAATTCATAGTTCTTATTATTTAAAGTGCATAGTTCCTCCTATTGTACTTGTTGAAGCTATGTATCATCACAATATTCATGAGCTTTCTAAAAATATACATATTTGATCCTGGAACAGCCCAGAATGTCTTGGAATGATTTGGCATTCTGCCCAGAATGCTTGTTCTGCTCCTGGAAAATGTCCTTGATACCAGTGGTATCCTTCTGGATTGCCTGCTTCAGATGGGGGTTGATATACCACATATTCATTTTATTTGGTGAGCGTATGAATGACAGATTGGTATAATAATCATAGGGTTCAATCTTGACTCCCATGCTGTTTAAGATCTACAATGAGCCACAAATTGAGACTTTTTGAAGATAGCCACCACATCTAACATTATTTTAACTCCTGGAAGTATAAATTTTCCTGCCATGTATTTACAGAGCAGTGATGATCTAGAATAACTTTACACCACCTTGCCTAATTAGCGCCATGCTATCATTTTTTTAAAAGAATGGATTATGTACTGCAGAAGAAAAGTTATGTCGTCAAGCAACCATACCAGATGGGCTACGTAATATTCCTTTACTGTGGGGAGAACCTTTGTTGGTCTAAACTGGCAAGCTAGAGCAACTTACTGGAAGACTGAGTTTTGCAGTAGGACACAAATTTGTGACAATCACAAATATGAGCAGAGCTGAATTTTTTATTTTTACCCACATAATTTCAAAGGAGGCTTTAGAACTATGTTAAATTAATTGTAAGATTTCCACCATAGTTTAATAAGGGGAGGGGGGGGGGTTGGTAAAAGAAAGGCCATCATTTTTCAGAAATAGTAGTTGAGTGGGTTCCAAAAACCACATAAATGAGCTTGGGAATGCTTGCATCCCTGCTATAGTTTACTAATCCCTATCTTAAAATGGAACCAGGTCTATAGGCATGAACACATAAACAAAAATTCATGAGCACTGCCACTGACTAAGCTATAAATTACAAAGCTAACAATATCTAAACCCTCCACCCTCAAATCCAGGGTCGTCTTTCCTGAGTTGGTATGAAATCATCTAGTTCTGATTCACTTACAGCTCATGTCGCTGGTAGTGAAACAACCTGTTGCTGTAGATATTGCTGAACTACAAATCCCCAAGATCTAATATTTCTGGGCAGAGTTCTCAGAGTTGTTTTAGTACCACATCAGGTGGAACTGCATATTACGCACTCATCTTTCAGCTCTTGAAAATTCTTGCTTACATTAGTATTGTTGGAAAATGAAACCTATACAGTTAGCTCTTGACATGCAACCAATTATTTAGTGAACCAGTTGAAGCATTGAAAAAAGTGACAAGTGGTCATCACACTGATGACCCATCCCAGCATCCCCCATGGTCATGTGATCCAAGTTGGGGTGCTTGGCAACTGGCATGTATTTGTAATGGTTGCAGTATCCTGAAGTCATGTGATCATCACTTACGACCTTACCAGGCAGCTTTTGAGAAACAAAATCAATGGGGGAAGCCTGTGATTCACCCATCAACTGTAGTGATTCACTTAAAACCATAGGAAAAAAGGTCGTAAATAAGGCATGACTCACTTAACAATCACCTTGCTTAACAAGGGAGATTCTGATCCCTATTGTGGTCTAAGTCAAGGACTGCCTGTAGCTGAATATAATAGCAATAGCACTTAGACTTATATACCACTTCATAGTACTTTATAGCCCTCTCTAAGTGGTTTACAGAGTCAGCATATTGCCTCCAAAAATCTGGGTCCTCATTTTACCGACCTCGGAAGGATGGAAGGCTGAGTCAACCTTGAGCCAGTCAGAATCGAACTGCTGATCTGTAGACAGCTGGAAGTCGGTAGAGGTAGCCTGCAATACTGCATTCTAACCAGTGTGCCACCACGGCTCAGTATATACCTAATATTACATATTCTGCTCAGCACCAGGCCTACTTTTTAAAATCTGTAACTAAGTGCTTGGACGTGCAATAAACATATTCATTCACAAGGGTTGTAAGTCATGAAGGAAAAGAAGATGAAGGACTAGGTCCTCACCTAACACAGCAGTCGGCACAAGTGGATCATTGGGCACTGTGGGAAAACAAAGCTTATGAAAAAAAATTCATTGCCTCCAACTGTTATTTTTAAGAACAAAAAAAGAAGTACAGACTTTTTGGAACATACAGCAAAGCCTATTCATCTTATTCGCGAAACAGGAAATACGAAACCACTTTGTAGAAAACAATGTTTGCTTTTTTACAGAATAAACAGTGCAATAAATGTATACAGGTTGAATTTAGTTATAATCTAAGCATTTTCTTCCTGAAAGCTAAGGAGAAAAGGCTTAGATGATTTTACCAGAGCAGCTGCCAAAGGATAATTCAACTTTAGGAAGCAATTACTGCTCTCAGAATTCCTTGGGCTCAGCAAGGAGGAAAAGCCAGAATTTTAAGCTTCCAAACATCCAACTTTCTTAGTAGGGCAAAGTTTTGGCATGGCTTGAGTAAAGCTGTGGCTGGCCAACATTCCTGGGGGAAATTGGCAGGCAATGAAAAAAGTCAATTTGGCCTCTTGGGCCCGGCAACTGGTCCTATGCAACATGATAGGATTTCATTGCTTATTCCAACCATTATTGGAGATGAGAAACATAGCTCTTAGCTGATGGAGGTGACTTTCTATTCTCAGATTTGACTTGGATTTTTCAACAACCATCTTCACATTATTCAAATTGCTCAGGTATCTCTTGAACTGGCTTGTTGTTTTTTTTTTCAGGGGAACATGGCCTGTGTAGAAAATAGGGTGGGAAAACTAAAATTACAGCCAAATCTTAAGATGTCCTACAGAAGTTCAGGGAAGAAAGGTTTCCTATATACCCTTTCCCCTTTGTATACCTCTGCATCACATCCAGTAATATATTATTTGCAAGAGTCCTTAATACTCTTTTTGGTAATATCCTTATATTTCTATGGCTTCACATCCTACTCCTATTATAGTAGTTTCTGTTCTGAAGTTATTGGCAGCAGTTCTGTTGTGTAACTAGAATAAACAGTACCTTTTAATGGAACTCATACACAGATGTACAGATATACAGAGTTACTAATTAGATGAGTGATTAGTACCTAAATATAAATACAATACCCCAAACTGTTGAAATAAAAAGTAATTTGAGTATCGAATTGTTTGTGTATATGTACACACATATGCATACAATCATAATGGGTTAGTGTGAGAACAATGATAAAAAATATCTGATTATGAGGAAACTGTTTTTCTCAGACATGATGTTACAGATTTTGAAATTCTATTTGTAAAATACAAGGTGGTGGTTTTTTTTTTTTACAAAAACATATGCCGTTTTGCAAAGTAAATTTTAAAGAGCTACAATTCTTTCTATATAATTGTATGAATCCATATATTGCAAGTTCAATGTTGAGGGGGGGAAAAAGTCAACATCTATCATTTTCTGTGGATTAATACTGGGGAAAATATGATGTAATACTACAGTTTTTAATGAAAGGATAGAAAGTAATCATTGCCTGCTGTTTCTGAAGCAATTTACATGCTACAAAACTGCAACATTGGGAAGTCACTTAAAGTCATTATCTTGAAAAGGAATTTTCTGTGGGAATTTATATATGCATCAGTCTTCTAAAGTACTTTGGGCCCAGCACTTATCCAGCAAAGAATTGGCAAGGTATTAAATTGTGGCTTTGGAGTAAACTTTCTAGTGCTTTTGTTAGAGAATAGCCTCAGAAAATTGTATTTTATAAACAGGTATTCTAAATTTCTCTGTATTTGATTCTTTTTTTTTTTGGTTTATCTGCAAGAAACACAAACATTTCAAAACTCTACTATATCATTTCCTTGCATAAAATACATTTTTATGGTACCAAATGCGATGTAAAGGAGATAGAAACAGAAGTAAGATACTAACTTCAGTGAAAATGGGACTGTCATACTTACATCTGGGGTTGAAGTTATGAGAATCCATAAAGGTGACTGAAAGAGGATCTTCTGCATGGAGTGTGCTTTGATCAGCATAACTCCGATCCATGGCGTTCACCATGTGGGTCATTTCTTGTCTAGTGTTTCCCATGGCATCCTTGCGTTTCTTCGCCAGTTTACTGCCCAACCGAAATCAAGAAAAGAAAAGCTTTAAAAAATAATCACACATTTATTATCTAATCGTAACAGCTATTCAGTGGTGAATGAATCTATTAAGACTACTTTAGAGCAGGTTTAGAGTTTACGGTAGCCATATACTTGAGTTTTGGGGAGGAAAGCTACATTTGCAATTTAAGATATTTAGGGAATCAGTATGCATACAGAGATATTAATTCAATTCCAGAAGGACTCAATTTTCAGCAGGCAAGTTCAGGATTTTAACTCTACACAATTCATCTTTTTACCATACCAGAATATGGCAATACGGAAAATGTTATACGCATTCGCTTCTTAACAATGGCTGCCAATATTAAAGCTACTTTGCACTGTTTATAGAAAATGCACATTATTTCAATATTCATAATTATTCAAATTGGAACTTCTGCCATTGTTTTGTTTCTTTGTGAACATTATCTTCATTCATATCCTTTTTTTAAAATTGAAACATCATGATAGTATAAATAAAAATATACATGAGAAGAAGTCAAACAAATAAAGGCTTAATCCAGAAAAATTTAAAAACAATTAAGATAATTTTGGTCAAGAGAGACATTGAATTTTTATAGGATACATTTATATTCTTCCTCGATATATGTTTAGCACTTTGTACCATGTTTCTCATATAAAAAGGCCGGGTCTTATTTTTTTTTTGAGCCACGAAAAAATGGCTAGGCCGTCTTTTCAGGGATTACTTAATTTCCCCCCCCTTGCATCTTCGGGCGGGCGGGCGGCGATGGCTTGGATGTTGATCTCGGCGTTGGTGGGGCATTTCGTATCGGGGTCAACGCAGGCAACACCATATCTGGGTGTGCAACAAGAGTACTTCCTAATGGCAAGCCCCCCCCCACCATTCCCCCCATTTTGCATGTTTTAATATAGGCCTTAATTTGGGGAGAGGGGCTTAATTTCATTTCATGCCTATAAAACATGCTGGGACTTCCTATTGGGGGAGGCCATATTGTTAGAGAAACAGGGTATTCTCAGAGCTAGTCGTGAAACTGGAACTCCAAATTTAGGCCAAGCTAGGAATAATCCAAGCTGAACTTACTTTTGGGACTGTCAAATGTGACTTTGATGATGTATAATCTGCATTACTTTCATTCACATATTATTTCATTACTATAGATATATTATTTTATCTGTTCTATTTTATTAAATGCCATGGCTGTTATTCTTATTTTGTATATCTCCCTCTACATCTGTCTAGCTATTTATCTAGCTATCTATTCATACGGTTTTTCAAGTATGAATTCAGTGTCAGTCACACAGTTTGACAATCTCACAAGAACTGGATTATCTATGGAGTTGGTATTGACCTACGAGTGCATATTATTATGTTCCACGGAAGCAACTAATAGTGCCTCTAAGTTATCAGCAATTGCTACAGGCATTATCCTTTGTATACTCTAAAATCCACAAGGCAGAGCGATAGCATTAAGTAGTGAACACTGTCCAAATTGATGCCTATTCTTAACGATATAAATAAAATGTTCCTGTGATTGTTTATCACAACACTTACTAAGTGAGGCTAAAGATGCCTCCCCTACACAGATGTTCATCAATTATCTTGCTGTGACATTATATAATAAAAAGAAAGGCAGATGAGCTGGATTTTCCCCTTAAAATAGATGTCACTGAATGCAACATAATGCCATTAAGACCTACTTAGGAAATCTTTTTTTAACATTCTTATGCTTAGAGAAAATCCAGTCAAAGGTAAGGACTTGTAATTTGACAATTATAAAAAAAAATAGTACTGTATTGAAAAAGTACTTTGTCACATTAACCTAGATTGCTTCATACTTGAGCCAATTATTAAGACATTTATTATTTTTTGGCTTTTTGTGTATGGCATATTAAAGAAATGCAAAAGTTCTCATAGCTTCTGGGAAGGGGAGAGGGGCAGAAGCTCAATAACAAAATACGACTATATTTTTTTCTCAGAAAAAGATAGATTAAAAAAAAGATTGAACACTAAAGGCTATATTCTTCATTTGACCTCCCAGCAAAAAATATATCTCCCTCTCTTAGAAAGAAAACTGATGAAGTTCAAAAACAAATAATTTGGCCAAAATATTTATCTAAGAACAGAAGACTAGCCAAGGTCACCTTAATCTAGAATTTTTGGTTTCTCACAAAAGATGATCAAATGCTGCAAGTGCTTCCTTAAAGTAAAAAATATATCAGTTTAACCAAAGGTAACATGGCAACATTAAGAAAAGCTCTCTCACCAAAACTATGCATGTAAATATATACAAACAAAGCACAAACAGAGTATACTTTTCCTCCACCCCATTCCAAGAAAAAAACAGAGAATGAAGCTGGTAGCTGTGAGGACTGTAGGGTGAAAAAGACCACACTAGTCTGCAAACCAGACATCTTAATGGGAATAGTTGTTTTCTATTGAACAGCTGGAGGAATTTGGGCAAGGAGACTATCCTTGGTGACTACAGCTTCATTTGGCTGGAATTTATCCACTGGGATCCCAAAAGTGCTTTTTCAAGAGGGAACTGGACTTTCTGGTTTTTCTTTGAAGACATTTCACTTCTTATCCAAAAACGTCTTGAGAGCTGAAGAAACTTCTTGGATGAAAAGCGAAACATCTTCAAAGAAAAACCAGAAAGTCCAGTTGCCTCTTGAAAAAGCACCTTTGGGACAACCATGACCTAGGCAACTGAGAATCTCCATAAACATCCACCGGGATGGAAGGAAACATAGATGTGTGTGTGTGGCGGGGGGGGGGGATGAACATAAACAAAGTATTGTGCTAATGAGATTTTTAGGAGAAAAAAAACACTCCTTCCCCCCAATGTTAGGTGTCCTATCAGATTTGAAGACATGTAAGATGGACTAATGGGTGGCATGCTGATGGTGAGAACAGATTTTAATTGTTCCCTACAGAAGAGGCAGGGGAAAATATTTGTTTTCCCTCTACATAGTGGTCCCATTACAAAAGGAACCTTTGTATACAGGTAGTCCTCAACTTACAACAGCTCGTTCAGTGACTGCCAAATCAGCTTGACAACTGTATTACTAACTCAACAATTGCAATGATTCACTTAACAACTATGACAAGGAACGTAAAAAAAGGGGGGGATTCACTTAATAATTGTCTTGCTTAGCAACAGAAACTTTGAACTCAGTTGTGATTGTAAAGCGAAGACTATCTGTACAGTTAAATTCTGGTAGAGTTGAGGACACAGTAGTAAAATCCAACTTCTTGTGGCCATATGGACAGTTCCATGGAGAGGTTCTTTTTGGCAAATTACTGATGTGCTTTCTTATTTTCTTCTTCTTCATGGGTGTTCACCTCATTTCCTAGTCTAGTTTACAGTCCTTGGATTTCCTGGTAATTGCACATGGAAGCACTAGCAAGACACAGCTTTAAAATATTTGCCCTATATTTAAATCCTATTATTATAGCTGTTTTCTTGAATGGATAGGGAAAATAATATGGTGAAACTAATGGTGACTGTTACAATTTTCAGCTACTGTCTTGTTGTGTACATATAATCTACATTCAGAAAGTTTCTACATGCTTGTATATTTACAGGTCCTGAATAAGCTTGTTTTATTGTTTCAACACATGCTTTGAGATACTTTGCTCTAATAATGGTTACATATTATATTTAAAGCTGTAGTTGTCAAGGTCTTTATACAAGTGTAAAGGTGAAATGTCATGAATTGAAATACAGGCAATTTATTGCTATCGTTTAATCTTGCACTTTGTTCAAGGCATTTATTGTTCTGATAGCTTTACCGTCCTTCACACTAAAGTTTTCAATTAAATTATTCCATCTTAATATCACCACTAGGAAGGAAGAAGAGGAGGAGGAGGAGGAACCAGTTAAATTTTACTAAATCTTCTTCTGAAGCACCTATTTATAAATCTTCACAAAAATCCTCTAGGATTTAAAGTGGAGTTCTGAGATTCAGCTAAGGACTGAACTAAGTTTCTAGATAGGACAAGCCGAAAAGTCAACAGCATTCAGTCTTCAAAAAGCAAAGACATGAAAAAGTTAATTTCTATGAAAAGGCCACAACAGATTTAGGGCATTTCCCTACATGATTTCTGAAGTGATGGTTGCCAGGAAAAGGAAAATACACAAAGTTTGTCATCAAACAGTCAATAATCTATGTTATAATAATAAACAACACCTTCTTTAAGATACTGTATGTTCAAACTTTTGAGTTGCACAATTATTCGTCTGACAGAACAGTGGCCAATGCTAAAAATGTGGAGAAGGAAGGAAACAAGTGATTAATGTTCAACTCAGGTTTACTGTTAGTTACGGAGAATGTTCTGCAAACATTCCAATTAGATCTAATGAGTTGCTGATGCAGCTCTATTTTGAACCTAGAGTCTTCCTCCAAGGACTGCTAGGACAGTAAAAGGAACATGCTAATAAAAATGGTTGATTCCTCCATTGTTGGGGGAAAACTATCCAACACTTCCAAAACTCATCTATTCTTAGGTGAAAGTACTGTGGCAGTCATAAACAGAAAATAATAGGAAGGAATAGAAACTAGAAATCTGATTTTGGACAGATATATAGAAGCACATATACTGTACAATATGAATATTTTATATCATTAGTTATCATTACAAAAAGTTATTATTTTAAAGCGATACACAAACTGAAGCCTCGTGTGTGTGTGTGTGTGTGTGTGTATGTGTGTGTGTGTACATATACTTTTACATGGAGAAGAGCCATGTGAGTATATGATAGGCCAAAATCAGAAATATGGTAGCACCTTTTCACATTAACAATTTTAATTAAAAGGCATAAATGTTTGTGAACTGCAGCTCCTGTGATGACATCAGATTATATCAAATTTGGAGCCTATCTTATTGGTATCGACTTTCTGGAATGTGAACTGTTAGCCACCAATAAAAAACCCGAAGTATGTTCCTCAGCCTGAAAAAATGTGTGCATCTCCAATTAAAGATACTATAAAA